CTTTATTTTAGCCAATTGGATCTATGGTTTTAGAATTCTCATCAAATTTGGGGCAAAAACATCAAGTATGTTATTAAATATTCTCCCCTCTCTCTCACTCTTTCTCTGTCTGCTTTTTGGACAGTAATTACATGAATATCTATCAACTTTATATCTCACAGTTCTCTGAAGCTATTTTTTTTTAATTTTTTGTTTGTTTTAACTATTTTTTGCTCTATGCTTTAGTTTGGGTAGGTGCTATTGTCTTCAACTCTTCACATTTTTCATGTTTTCTTCTTCAGTTGTTTAAACTTCTCTTGGTGTGTACTGGTGTATCTAGATTGTTTTTGTGAACATAAAGTCATTCCACATCAAGGAGCTAGAGTTTGAATTTTGTCTCCCAAAATGTTTCAGGTTGATTTCTGAGTTATGTAAAGACAGCCTTTGCAATTACTTTTAGACTACCTGAAATCCAATAAAGTATAATTTTCAAAATTTAAAATGCCCTCCCCTTAAATTGCTATGCATACTCAGAATTTGTCTTTCATTATGCTTTTATAATTCTAGAAAAACTTCCACTATATTTCAGGACAAAAGAATTCTGCTTTTTCTAGAAAACAACAAAAATTTATCTTATTACCTATTGCACACTAATCCAAAAGATTGAAATTGTAAGAAAGTAATTCTAATTGTAACAAAGTAATTAGTTTATACTTACTTAGAAAACTAAGTGGTAATTGTATACTGACTGCCATAGACACAATAATTTTACCAGAAACAAAGCTCATCAATAAAAACACTAATTTTTAGAACTATTCACATTCTGTCTTCACCATTTAATATTTGCAAAAATTAACATATAAATAAATATGACCCCAATAGCATAAATTTAAGAAGCAAAGTATGTAAAATTAAAATCGTGTTTAGTAATCAGTTTTAAATATTCCATTTCACTTAGAAATGGACTTATATTAGCAAACCAATGGTTATCCATTAATTAATCTGATATAACAAATAAGTTCTATCATCTAAGTTATCTAAATGATGTTCAAATTTACAAAAAATGAAACAATTACTGCTGTGCATTTTCTTACAAAAATATAATTCAGCATAGCTTATTAGAAATTTCTGATTTTTATATTCATAGATTTTTTTTTACATCTTAATTTTATTCTATTTTTTCATGTTCCAAGATTCATTGTTTATGCACCACACCCAGTACTCCATGCAATAATATGTGCCCTCTTTAATACACACCACAACACTCATCCATCCTCCCACCTCCCTTGCCTCCAAAACCCTCAGTTTGTTTCCCAGAATCCACAGTCTCTCATCTTTTATCTCCCCTCTGTCTTCCCCCAACTCACTTTTCCTTTCCTTATCCTAATGTCTTCCATGTTATTCCTTATGCTCCACAAGTAAGTGAAACCATAGATAATTGACTTTCTCTGCTTGACTTATTTCACTTAGTGAATCTTAAGTGGGTATACCTTAGCTTATTTTATGAGTAAACAAATCTAAGGTTTTTAACAGGTTCAGATTAATTAGGCAAACAGCATAGTTTGATTTGTTTGATTGGATTTGTCAGGTTTGTCCATGTTGGCTTCTTGGTTGAGCTATCAAAATTGCTAAAATACAATTTTAATAATATAATATAATATAATACAATACAATATATTTTTAAAATATAAAATGCCACTTCTCAAATATTCTATTCTTAAAGAGATAATTAATAAGGAAAAAAGTAAACTGTTAAGGCTGATTCAAAGAACATTTGTTTAGATGTTTATAAAATCTTTAATAATGGCAAGTTAAGATATTATTGTTGGATTAATTTCAAAACTGACAAATTTTCTGCTGAGCAACAATCCTTAACAATTAGAGATATCTTTTCTACTAGACATAAGTTATTTGCATTTTGATCTGGAAAACTCTGTGTTAACACGTAAGTTCACTAAGTCTGGAAGCTACAAGCAATAGTAAACAGTGAATCAAATAAAAGCATTCCCCTAGAAAATCCTTAGGTACACCGTAGGCACTATATAATATTGTAAATACATCACCCCAACTTTTTGCTTTATTTTTATGATTTGGATAATTTTTCCCCAAAATTTTCACAAAATTTTGCACTATGAAAAATAGGCACAAAAGTTTTTAAAAATTAAAAAGACATCTATTTTTCAAAGTGTCTTGAAAATAAAGAGAAGACATTAGTACTAATAGCCCATCTCTTATTCTCCTATCTATGTCAAAGGTAAAATTATTTATGAATTGGAAATTCTTCTTTTTCTGGTGGACATAGCTGACAGCTCATATAATGGTAGTATTTTCTATTTGATTATGACTCTTTATGGATGTTTTATCTTTTAAAAAATAATTTATTTAAACTTACAAAAAAACACATTTCACCCAGTATAAAGGATGTTTCCTTTATATTCATATTGAGAAAGTTAGGAAACTATAGTTGGATTTAAGAGTATGATTCCAGACTGATGAGTCACAGACCTGTAGCCTACCTCTGAAATAAATAATACACTATATATATATATATATATATATATATATATATATATATAAAATAAATAAATAAATCTGAGGCAATTAAAAAAAATAGAAGAGTATGATTCCAAAAAGAAATTATTGGTGAGATACCTGGTCAGTAAAGCACTGACTCTTGATCTCAGCTCAGGTTCTGATTTCAAAGTGTGAGTTCAAGCCCTGAATTGGGATCCACACTGGCCAAGGAACCTATTGAAACTGCTGAAAGGAAGAAAGAGAGAGACAGAGAGATAGGTCTGAGGTTATTAGGGAAGCCTCAGACCAAGGGCAATTTCCCCTAAGGATCTGTCCATCAGAGCCTGAATATTCTCTGGCCAATCCTCTCCAAGATTCCAGCTCAGAAGTAGTTTTTCTTGTTTTGTTTTTATCAACTGTAACACTTTACTTAGAATTATAAGACTGATCTGCTTGGTAACATAGAACAGCATTAAGATACTTAAAATTTATTTTATAAGTCAAAGTATATTTACTATCTAAATCTTATATTTGTCATATATATGTATACACACATACAAACACAAACATATATAACTTTCATTCCCCTTTTTTTGTAATGGAATTATTTAATAATTATGAACAATTTATGATGACATAAAATTGATAACTATTAATGAGTAACAAATATTATACAAAATATCATCAGATAAAATAGAGCAATAGAAACAAAGAATTAAAACATTTGATTAATAAATGTCTGATATATTAAAAAGGAAACTACAAAAAAATGAAAAACTAAAGATTAAATAAATGAAGCTGAACTTATTTATAAATAAATTAGTCACAAGTGAATAAAATCCACAACTTAAATGACAAAATGTGCAAATTGTGTAAGTAAACCAAATACAGACAAACTAAACATGAGTGATGAGTTAATACTAAATACCATAAATAGTTGAAAATAATGGAATGGACCATGATATACAAAACAAATGCAAGAAAACAAAAAGCAGAAAGAGAAATATTAAAATTTATGCAAATATTATTTCAAGGAAAAAAAAAAACTAGTTATCTTGGGAAGATTATATATATATATTATATAAATATATATAAATATATACATTTATCTTATATATATATACTGTAAGCACAGTATAACAAGAAAATAAAATAATAATGCATGAAATTAATTTTAAGTTAGAAGTGGGGATTTTGATACAACCAAATCATAATGAAAAACTCACTCTTTCTTAACAAATCAAGTGATGAAATTCACATTGTCTTTATCCATTCATCAGGGGATAGACACCTAGGTTTTTTTTTTTATAATTTGGCTACAACTTTAGAAGACTAAAACATTACTTAACAGCAGAAAACTCCCAATTAATAGGACTGGCATCTTCTTTTCCAATAGCAGATATCCATAAACATGACTTTAAGATATAGCTCGCATTGGGGCACCTGGGTGGTAGAGTCAGTTGAGCTTTTGACTCTTGGTTTTAGCTCAGGTTGTGATCTCAAGGAGGTGAGATTGAGAGCTCCATCAGCTCTGTGCTCAGTGCAGAGTCTGTTTGGGACCCTTTCCCTCCTCCACCCCTCACCTCTCCCCCACAAATAAACAAAATTTTGAAGGAAAAAAAAAAAATATCGCCTGGAGGAACCCCCTTAAATGTAGAGCCCGAGGCTGGGAACAGAAAGTTCTAAATCAGCAGTCTAAGTTGTTTAACAAACAGCTCTGATTCTGAAGCATGCGCTAAAAATTCCTTACTTTGAGAAACAGGAAATTAGGAGTATGTTGGAAGGAGCAGTAAAAGCAAGCTTGGGTGTGGAATATAAGAACAGGTCTGACTATGACCTATTACTTTGTAAAGAAATTTTTATTGAAATAAAACCATGCTCATCTGTTTATATATCAACTGGATATTTCTCCCTCTAGTGATGAGAAATCATGTGGCTGGCAAAGCCAAATGTCCTTATTATATAGCTTTTTTTGGAATAGGTTGTTAGGTTTTTTTAGGGGAAAAAAAGTTTTTTGGGTGTTTTCATTACTTAATGCATTTATTAATACATACATAATATGAGGCAGGACATAAGACTTTTGATTTTTTAAAAAATGCAATTTTAAATGCATTTGATATTTGCTATAAATGCTGTCTCAATATTATCCCCAAACCTTTCAGAATAAGCATTTTCACCCTTCTACTCTGTCACCAATGTATCTGATTATAAAATTTGAATAAATCCTAGAATATGTTGACATTTTTGCAACATATAACTGATAAATGATTGCTTGCTTAAGAGGAGGTTCAAGTTTACACATCTGCATTTGAAACATAGGACACTCTAATATCCTTAGTTTTAGTCACTTAGCCAAGGTAAATAAAGTTGGTGTTTACATTATATAAGGAGCTCAAATCAGGCAGAAATTCTTATGTTATCCTTGAGTGAGCAATAATGAAAATTTGGCTATTATTTTTATCTTCTCTACAAAAAGTTGCCAAAATACTCAATTTGGCAGTACCAAGATACTCACTTTGGCAGCACATATACTAAAATTGGAACAATACAGAGAATACTAGTATGGACCCTGCACAAGGATGACACACAATTTATGAAATGTTCCACATGCTTTTTAATTGCCTTAATAATAGAAACTTTCTAGACATAAACAGATCACACAAGGCAGTTTCTGCAGGACCAAATAAGAAATGCACTTTTCCTACATTTTTGGAATTGCCCCAGAATTTAGATTGTGCCTGTGACTGGAGCAATTGTATATCAATGTTGCATACTTTGACAATATTATAAAACATTACCTAGAGTTAATTTATAACACATACATTCTTTACAAGAAAAAGAGAAATCCAAAATTAAAGTCAATATTGATATTAAGGTGCAAAGAGTAAACATTAAAAGAAATGTTAAAATATAACTTTACAGTTGTAATGACAAAATCATGAAAAAGTTACAATGTAGCTTTTATTATCTAAAAACAATATTGAAAATAAGAACCTCAAATTTTGCAATGGAGTTTCAATAAAGTCTTGTGTTGACTAGCAGAAAGCATTCAAGAATAAAAAATAATTAAAAATGATAAACTGACACGATTTCTTCTATGTATGTTCCTATTCATTTCGTGTACCCTGTAAATGATCTTGGTGCTAATAAACTTAACGATTTCTTCTTATTTGCTCTATAAATTATCTGTGATGAATTTGCCCAGGTTGATCTATAATTAGAGCTAATTATTATAGCCAGCTTATCATAGCATACATAAAAATCATATTTCTCATTGAAAGCAAAATAAAATACCCTGAGAATATCCTATGTTCCATACCATGTCATGACAATGTCCACCATGAAAATGACACCAATAAATGCCATGGTATAGTATGGACATATTATGTCTTTTATAAGATAATACAGATATTTTCTTTCCATATAACTGGTATGACTTATTTTCCATAATTTATTTTTGATATATTATGACTAAATCAAAATGATAAGTGAAGTGCAAATATAACACCAATTGGTGGTTGTATACGGCTTTTTTAAAAGATTTTTATTTATTTATTTTTATTTGAGAGAGAGAGAGAGTGTGTGCCCACACATGAAAGGGGGAAGGGGCAGAAGGAGAGAGAGAGAATCTCTAGCAGACTCTGCACTGAGTGTGGAGCCTGATGTGAGGCTCCATCTCCTGACCCTGCAATCATGACCTGAGCTGAAATCAAGAGATGTCTGCTTAAGCAACTAAACCACCGAGGTGCCCCATGATTATATAATTTTTATCTCTAGGTGGTCGCTTTGAGGTTAACTTGAGATTACCATGTAGCTATAATTTATAACTAAGTGAAAAAGAGTAAGCCACCCCTAAATTTCCTTTATTTTTCTTTTATTATAAAAAGTCTACTCAGATTTAGTTTTTTTAAAGATTTTATTTATTTATTTGAAAGAGAGATAGAAAGCACAAGCAGGCAGAGTGGCATGGCAGAGGGAGAAAGAAGCAGGCTCTCCACTGAGCTGGAAGCCCAATGCGGGGCTTTATCCCAGAACCCTGAGATCATGACCTGAGCCAAAGGCAACCGCTTAACCGACTGAACCACCCAGGTGCCCCCACTCAGATTTAATTAAATGGAGGAAAAAGAAGACTCATTATTACTACTGTAACATTTATTCCATTAGTTGTTTACCTTATAACTAATTTAAATCAAACTACATATATACATTCTACTTCCTTTTATGAAGTTTATCAAATGAATTCTCATTGTGATTATATACAGTCTCTTATCAGTCACTATTTTTGATTGTTGTAAGAAGAATTCTTAAGATGTTTAATAATATGGTTATCAGTATTTGGTATGTATGAATTATTTCAAAAAACCAGGTTTTTATGCCAACACATAAATTTAAAATGGGCAAATAAAAAGGTCTACAAAATATGTGAATTAACAGAAAGGCAAACAGTAAAACAGATGCAAATAAGAAAAAAAAATTTCATTAAAGATACATCCCCAGATAATTTTCTTTTAACAATTAAATATTTTATAAAAGATGGATATATATTTAAAAATTAGTGGGTAAGTGATTTGTGAGGAAATGTGTATGGATAATACATAATCTTATGTTTTTATAAATCTGTTGTTTAAAATTCAAACTAGAATATAACATAACTAATAGTCACAAGAAAAATATTTAAAATATTTAACAAGACTGTTGTCATATACAACTCAGGGGCAAAATCCTGAATGTATTGTGAAATTATTCATACTAGTATAGCTACTATTTATGCATAGTGTTCCATGGATGCCATTTTATTAAATAAATGTACCAAATTTTCATAAAGTAAAAATTCCAAATTCAAAATATGAAACAATACCAGCTCCTCAGATGCGTTTCTTATAATACTCACTCAACTCTTACAAAACTCACTCAACTTCCTAACTGATCCAATCTCCTAATTTATAATACTATAAAATAATTTAACTGTTTTTAAACTTTATAATTAATATCATGAAGTATATGGTCTTTTGTATTTGGCATCTTTGCCTCAATATGTTGTTTGTGAAACTCATCATGTTTTTGTGTTTGGCTGTAGTTGATTCATTTTTATGTCTGTGCAGTATTCTATTTTATTTATATAACAAAGTGTATTTACCCATTCAGCAGCTAATGTGGATCTCATTGTTTATAATTTGGGTTATTTTAAATACTTTTGCTAGTATATTTGTATTCTTATCTTTTTGTGAACATATACACACATAATTTTTTAGTATATATCTGGACATGGAACTGATAGTTCAAAGTTATACATTTGTTCAGTGCAGTAGAAAACTGTCGGTTTTCAAAAATGATTGACAAAATTTATATAACATCCAGGAGCTCTGACTGTGAATTAGTTTTACAGACTCATCAAACTTGTTATATTCAGTTTTGGTTTTGTTTTTCCATTTAACCATCCTCTAATATAGAGTGATATCACATTATGCTTTTCATCTGAAAGCCTTGGAAGACAAATGAATATGAGGAACTTTTCATATGTTTAGTGGTAATTTAGATATCTTTTTCTGTGAAATGTCTATTCAAATTTTAGCCTGTTTTTCTACTGAATTTTATATCTTTTACATGTTTATTTATATGACTTTTATTTCTATTAATTATTTATAGATTCTAGATAATATCCTATGTAATATAAATTATTGTATTTCAAATATATTCTCTCACTCTATGTCTTGACTTTCCTCTGTCTTAATGGTGCCTATTGATAAATAGAAGTTAATTATTTCTTGAAAAGAAAAATATATATAATGAAGGTTAGTGTTTTTCATATCCTAAGTAAGAAATTCTAGCTAACTTTAAATCATAAAATATTTATATTTCTTTTAAAAAGTAATTATTTAATCCTCTCTTTCTTTCTAGAACCTGCACACAAAAATAAAGGAAATGTACCTCATACTTTTCCTTTATGTGAATACCTAATTAATTCAGCACTGTCATTTTTAGAGATCACTATTTTCCTTGCTGTGCTGAACTGTGTCATATATTAAATGATCACATAGAAGTGTCTCTTTCTGGATGATTTTTTGTTGTTTTTGCACAGTTTGTCCACTCTTGCACCAAAGGAACACTCAAAGTTACTGCTCTAATAAAGCATCTATTATAATGGGCAATATAATATTCAAAAAAATGAAAAATGTATTTTAAAAGAGTAACAAATACTATGAAAAAAGAGAGTACTGGGGGTTGGATGTATCGAGAAGGCCACATGAGAGAGTTTGAATAGAAGTTTATGAGAAATGTGAGGCGAAATAATTCTAGACAGTGGAAAGATCTGAAGCAATAGTTTTAATTTAATCTGATACACTTGAATATCTAAAAGAAGTTCATTATATATAACCTATACATGCCAAGGAGTAAGCATTTAAAGTTGATATGGGAGGTTTGAGACCAAGCATGTAGAACATTATTGGTCATGTTAAAGATTCCCATTTTTAGTTTAAAGAAATGATTTCTGGGGAATGGGGACTCAGTTAAGCATCCAATTCCAGATTTTGGCTCAGGTCATGATCTCGGGGTTGTAAAATTAATTCCTGCATTGGGCTCTGTGTTCAGTGGGGAGTTTGCAGGCGATTCTCTCTCTCTCTCTCCCTCTCTTTCTGTGCCCCTCCCCCCATGTGCTCACGCCATCTCTCTATCTCTCTCTCAAATAAATAAACATTTTTAAAAAAGAAATGATTTGGGGAAGATTTAAACCTAGGATATGTAAAAGTTTTAAAGGCTGCTGTGCCATTTGAAAAATTAATTGTAGGTGGTCAAGAGTTAAAATAGGGTAAGAAATGTAATGGGTATTCAGGCTATTCTTCTTGCTGACAGAAAACACTGATAATATGTACTTAGGTATTAGCAGAGGAGGTGGTGAGACATGGTTATCCGGGAAGTTAGAGCGAAGGAGATTCATTGATAAGATGATGGAAGAAAAGGAGGAATGAAGGAAGATTTTCAGGAGAGAAACTATAGAATTCAGAAAAATTACCATTCCAATAACTGAAATTGGAAGACAGCAAAAAGGGTATGGTTAGCAGGATTGATATGGAATCTTGACTTCAAGCTTTATGATTTATAACAATTTCTTTTTTGGATTGTTTTTATTTATTTATTTTTCTTCCATCCTAGAGCATAAAGCATTTTTGAGACTTTATTAGTGTCTAATTTATGAATACATGGGTAAATATACAACTTGAAAAGTTTTGACATATATAAGTATATGTACATATATATCTACATCTCTGTGAAACTAACACTAAAATTAAGATAGAGAATATGCTCATAATTCCCTCAATTGTTCTAATATCCATTTGAAATCCATCACTCTGTCCCACTTTCCTTCGTACCCAAGCAACCACTGCTCTATTTTATGTCACAGTAGGTTAGATTGCATTTTTGAGAAGCATATAAATAGAATCATACAGTATATGCTCTTTTGTTGACCAAGTTCTTTCAGTCAACATGATTATTTTAATATCTGTATATGTATGAAATCAACCAAAGATGCTTTACTATTAATAGCTAAGTATTATTCCATTGCATGGATATACCACTATTAATTTATTCATTCATTTATTCATGGGCATTTCAC